CGAACACATGATGGAGATTTTGTACAATTCAAAACTATTCCTGCACGAGATGTGGGTTGGAGTATTTTAGACACAGCATTTAGTCCTGATGGCAATTATATTGTTTATTCTAGTTGGTCAGAATGTTGTAAGTATATGTATATTGTTGAAAGTAACATGAATTAATTGTAAACTTGCTTTTTTTAATTTTCCTTTTTCCTTTCCAGTATATCTATGTCCTGTTTATGGAGATTCAAGTGCACAAGAATCATTGTCATTGTGTCCAGAAGATCGAAGATTTTGTGTATTTTCTCTCGTATTCTCCAGTGACGGCCGAGAAATTTTAGGTGGAGCAAATGATGGTTATCTTTATGTTTACGATCGAGAATGTCATCAACGGGCTTTTAGAGTATGTATACAAATATTCTTTTGATATTTAGTATTTCATCACTTATTACCTACTTATTTTTTTTTTTATAGATCGAAGGTCATGATAATGATGTAAATACAGTTGCTTTTGCAGATAATACTTCTCAAATCTTGTACAGTGCTGGTGATGATGGTCTTTGTAAAGTATTTATCATTTATTTATATAATGATTATTATTGATATATGTTATAATATATATATCCATAAATATTTTTTTATTTTTTAATTTCTTTATTTTGTGTTTTTCTCAGGTTTGGGACAGAAGGACTTTAAATGAAACTGATCCACATCCTGTTGGAGTATTAGCTGGTCATATGGATGGTATAACGTATATCGATCCGCGTGGTGATGGTCGTTATTTAATAACCAATAGTAAAGATCAGACGATTAAATTATGGGATGTTCGTGCGTTTTCTGATCATAATGGTGAACAAAATACACGTAAAGCTGTTGCGAATCAAAATTGGGATTACCGATGGCAACGAGTACCAAAGCGATGTCAGTAATAACAAAATCAATGATATTTTTTTCGTTCCGCATTTAAGTATACTTAATATTATTTATATCTCAATTAAACAAATAAATCTTTTTCTTTATAATAGTGCACAAAGCAAGAAATATGTTGGAAGGTGATACTAGCATCATGACCTATCGTGGTCATTCCGTTCTTCAAACTTTAATACGTTGTCATTTTTCACCTTCGTCTATTACCGGTCAAAGGTATATCTATACTGGATGTGCCGCAGGACGAGTAATAAGTAAGTTTTTATTTTATTGTATCAAAATTAAATTTATATATTACGATAAATTTATTAACCATTTTGAATCCACTTTTCAGTATATGATGTCTTAACAGGTAGGATAGTTAGTAGTTTAGTAGGACACAAAGGATGTGTACGTGATGTTAGTTGGCATCCATTCCATCAGGAAATCGTTTCCACGTCTGTAAGTATTATATATATATATATAAGTAATTTTTTGAAAGAATTATATTAAATGTAAAATTATTATAATTAATAACATTTACGTATGATAATAAATTTATTTCAGTGGGATGGTGCCATTGTTAGTTGGCGATATGCTGGGAAGACTGCACTTGATAATTCTGATTCGGAAGAAGAAACTGATGCAGAATCACCTCCGCGTACTTTAAGAAGAAGTCAACGAATAGCTGCTCAAAGAGCTAAACACGCAGCAGCGTGTTGAGTCTCGTAGATTTTAACCGGGAAACTGAATGTTCTCGGCAATTCAGTCTTTTCGTTCCTACGAGGAAAAAGTTAACAATGCCTAGTGTTTGCGGCAGAAAAGTTTTACATCGGTGACTGTTAATCATCGAAATTCAGGAGACTAACTTTTTCTACAAGACTGAGTTTTTATTGAATACGCACCTCTATAGAATCAATGCTGCCATTCTGGTCGGTATAATATAATGCGTTATCAAAACTATACGCATATTGGTAACGAAATAAGAAAGACGAGGTACAACAGCACCGACTATACAATTCATTCTCGTGGAGCCGAATTTGTTTTTACTCAATATTTAACTATCTTTTTCATATTAAATCTGAATGGAGGAAAACGCGTTATTATTTCGTACTATAAAGTGCATAACACATTAAACAAAATATATGTATATTATATAAATATATGGTATACATACATATATGTATATATGTGTGTATATTACTATTACTGTGAATTAGAAAGACTTTTTTGACACGAAACGAAGATCTTTCTCCGTCACTTTGTTTCTTTTATTCTTCTATCTTTTATTCCTTATTTTCCTTCATATTCCTTTCCCAATATCTATCTATCACATTTTTTTATTTTAATTTTAAAAGAGAAATATCTTCGATTCATATCGTATCATAGCACTAAATTATCTATAAATTTTTGTTCAATCTCTGTTTTTTGAAAATAATTTTACAAAAATATATGCTCAATCCAATATTTTTTGTTAAAAAAAAATTATTTTTCCTCCGTGTAATTTTTTGTATGAATAAAAATATATATAATTTTACAAATAATAAGAGGATATGGGAACTATAAACGAGAATGAAGTAGATTAATAAAAGAAAAAGATGGAACGAATCTGTGGTTTTTACAAGATAAGTTTGTTTTTCCAAACTGACCAAGTGCGAAAAGGACGTCATGTGTACATTTTTCGATGTACGTATTTTATTAGGTATGTTTAAATGTTGCATACGAACTCCCAAAAATGTACAGATATACATAAATATATAGAAACATTACATTACAATTAAACACAAACACATACACATACACATACATACACACACGTACAGGGTGTTGTTGACAGCAAAACAGATTTACACTTACGCGCGTGTATATATTTATATATACATACATAATGTTATATTAAACATGTATACTAATAAATTACTAGAAAATAATATAGTTTTTATATTTTGTATAATTGTATTCCCAAATAACTACAATTCTATTTAATACTTAATATTGCATTATTTTAAATTAGAAAAAATAATATTAAATGGAAAAATTATCATAGAAAAAAAAAAAGATATAATTTATTTGATTAATCATAAACATTTGTTATTTTTATTGCTTATATTATTGCTCATTTATTAAAATTAATTAGTAATTTAATATGATTTTATTTATTATGAACAATCTTTTTATATAATTTCATGAATTTTATTATAAATTTAAATAATAAATGAATATATATTTAATAAAATAATATAAATTTTTTTTTATTTTTTATTTTTATATATAATATATAATAATATCTATATATTAGAATATTTACTAGTAGTAGTTTTACTAATATCTAATCATTATGTAATATTAAATATACTTACTTAAAAGCTAGATTAATTATGAATTCTGCAACATAAGATTTCTTAGCTGATAAATAAAGCAATTAAAATGTTTTTCTTATTTTATTTTACTATGATATACTATAATATACTATGTTTGGATATCTTATTTATGATCATCTTAAATCTATCTCTTTCATTTTTTATGATAGGGAAAAGTTTTTTATTCGAAAAGATAATATTCATAACATTAATATATTTTTTTCATCGCCAATATGATAGCTCAACATAAGAAAGAAAAATTTAATGACTTATAATAATATGATATGATGTAAACAGTAAATTAGTATGTACAAGAATAAAGTTTTGCAGATTTTAAAGGAAACCATAAAAGATTTTCAACCTTCCTTTCTCAACCATTTATAGCCGTCAAATGCATATTTGGAAGCCAAACAAAAGGCTGACTATGAACACTGCATTGTGCATAAGATTTCTTATCTATGCCTTACAATTAGTGTATAATTGTATTGTGTTTTGTGATTACTTTTTGCAATTAAATTTTACCATAGATATATTGATGTATCTATTTAATTCACTGTTGTATTTTTCTTTTTATTTATTTATTTTTTTTTCTCTTTATCTATTTCTGTAACAACAAAACTGTCTTCGTTGTTCTTTTTTTTTTTCTTTTTGAATATTTTCGTTCTTATAGCTTCTTTTTTAAATAATGGACGAGATAACAGGTGGACGTAGATTAGATTTCCTTTACATAAAATTGAGCAAAAATAGAAAATATAACTGCTGAAAATGAATTTTTATCTTTATGAAATAATAAAATAGATTTATACGATGGATAATATATGATTTCTAATTTGAAAAGAGATTGATATAAATATATATATTTGAAAGAAAATTTAAGAGATAATTTTAGGACGAATATAAAAGATAATATACAGAAATATCGGCTGATGTTTATTTATTAAGTTACAAACAATTTAATTTTTTACTAGATGAAATTGCTTATAATTCAACAAATAAGTCTCGATCGATATTTTTGCGTATCAACTTTGTTTTTGATCCTGGAATAATCATTTAAATTGTCTAACTACTTGAATACTCTTTATACATTTATACAACATATAACATAGCATTCTACGTTAACAAAATAACAACGATAGAGCATTTTCGCGTAAATAATAAATCGAATTGAGATCAACTATGAAAAACTTCATTCCCTTTTTATTCATGAAATTTGAAAGAATTCACTGATTTTTTTTTTTTTACTCGCCAATCAACAGTACTGCCTTTTATTCATATATCGAAAATTCGAAAAAATTCGTTAAATTTACCTTCTAATCTAGATCAGAGTTATTACTAATTATTATGATAATACATATCTATATATATCTATATATATTTATAATGTATTATATACATATATATATATATATATATTTATGTATACATAATGGATATTCTTATTAAATAAAAAAAGAGAAAAGAATTATTTTCTCATAATATTACGATATACCATTGTCACGTGTATAAAAATGCATACCTACTTTCATTCTATTCGATCGCGAATACATAATATCAAAGATCAGATCGGAAAGACAAGAAGTCCGTGTGACAAGATTGCAAGTAAGCGAAGGGTAGGGAGCACAATGCGATTTTTTTTTAAAACGTCGACGAATTCTTTCTCCCCTGGAGGTAACTTTGGCCATCCATACCGTAAAACTACTGCTAATTGATGTAAGTCGATAAAAGGTAGATTAGACTTAGACAGTCTTCGTAGCGGACAGAAGCCAATCGTGAAGTGTCAGTCTCTCGCGCGACAATCATCATCAGAACAACGCTAGTGGCTACGTTCGTTTTATTTTATTTCCATTCCACGGTGTTATTTCACTTCGATTTTCATCCAAGCGAATTTTTATTTACCGTGTTGTTTTCATACGTGCTTAATCATTTTGGGTAAGTCTAAGAGAGAAATATGTGATGCACAGTTATTAAATTTGTTTTATATGGAGTTGTAATATTCGGATACACAATGAATTTAACATTTAATAATAATAAATAGATATATTTTCGTATAGTCATTTTGTTTTTTTTTTTTTTTGCTTGAAGTTTTTCGATTACTATTCTTATTACATTATAATTTTATAATAAGATACGTTATTTGAATCTCCCTCGTTTGTTTAGTTCTCAGTGTTTATCTTATTCTAATCTGCCTCGATCCTTCGTTCATTCAAATAATAAAAAACATAATGGAATATAATTTTATCCTTTTTAATCAAAATTCCCTGGCAATTTTATATTTTTCTTAATTATATTGACTATTAGTTAAGAATTATAGGAATTCAAAATTTAAAGATATTTTTAAAGAAAACAAGAAAAATAATTTTTATCATTGTGTATATTTTTAAATGCTAATTTAAAGAATATTTTAACCAAGGAGAGCAGAATTTTAACATTGAAATAATATCATTCAAATATTAATTTACGCGATAAATAATAATTGTTTTATAGAGGATTTAGCATTTTATACTTTCATAATCAAATGAACAAACAAATTGTGTCTTTGATAAGAAACTAGGATATAGATATAACGATATAAATAGACAAATGAGATTCAAAGAAAGCAAAATAAAGGAAAGAAAGAAGATCGAAATGGAAGGAAATTAATGATATCGAGTTTTAATGATATCAATTAAAAAATCGATAGGGGAAAGTATATCGAAATGAGGAAGGAAATGAGTTATCCTAAAAAGATAACATTCTCAAGATGTTAAATGCATGGTGAAACATGAAACATTAATTGTAATTAACATTAACCATTTCGTTATTTAGAAATGACATCCGATCAAAATCCGATGACGAATCAAACAGAGGAGGATATCGGAAGAAGGCAAGCAGTCCGCATCATACACACTAGAGGAACTCATTACGACATTGGTTTTGATATTGTAAGAATTCAATTGTTTTTTTTTTTTTTCGATTCGCTACATCGCGATATATCTATTCGATGTTCGTATTATAGTTTTGCGCGAATTTATATTCTTATGGAAACTTTAATAAAAGTGGAAAACGAAAAAAAAAAAAAAACTTAAGAAACGGAATCGTGAATAGTTACATAAGTTAGATATAAATTTATTATTACAATGATCGTGGCACCATTCGATTATGTTTGAAAAATAAAATGGAAAAATCTTGAGTTAATCTCATTATTTTTAGAGGTTATCTTTATTTAATTTTTATTTAATTTTTCGATCGATTTTTAATCGACATACCAAACATACCTATGTATCATATTACTATATATTATATATAGGATGTTGTGTAATTGGTGGTACAAATGCAAAGGAAGTATAGAATACGTGAAAAAATAAATCGAAAATAAAATAAAATTTAAGAAAAAAATTGAAAAATTATTCAAACACGACTAGACTATTATTATTATTATTATATGATGTATTATGAATCAATTATCGATAACCGGTTATTCTACATATAAAACACATATAAAAGTAAGCAAAAGACATAAAATAATTTTTCTTCGTTTAAAAATTAATTTTCCAAAAAAATTGGATTTAGAAATTTGTCAGTTATATTTTTGATTGTATATGTTCAATGTAATTTTTTTAAAAACTAGCCATAAAATTTTATTTTGTATTTTTTGTTTATTTTCACATGTAGACTTATCAATAATTCATTTATGTACATGTATCGTAAAAAATTTTATCTATCGGAAAATAGCTAATTTTAGTTATACTTGAAGATTGTTCAAATTTGTTTTATTCGAAAATAAAATTTCAAATGAAAAAATTTTATTCTCTTTTGAACTTATTTTTTCACATAGAATTTACTCTTTATTCCATTATACCATTTTATGTATCATTGTTATATATAAATAATTATTGAATTATATAAATTTCTGTTCAAATTTTATGAATATAATTTTTACCAATGTTATTACCAATATAATTGAGTAGATATTATATTATCTGCATTAGCAAGTATATTATAATTATCGAATCTAATCTAAAAAATGTTTTTTTTTTTTACTTTTCTTCAAATATTTATTTTAATATTATTCAACTATTTAGTTATTGATGTTTTATATATATCAATAAATTATATATATAAGATTTGAATCTTTCTCACACCTGTGATTCCAAGAGATTGAGCGTGTTACGTAACGTTGAGTTACATAATATTATGCAACTTGAGAAGTTTACTGTTTAAAAAAATAATATATGCACAGATTTTACAATAATGTTCACGTCATGTATTAAACGTGAAATACGATATTCTCAAGTTCTTCTTTGAATCGAAAGAATATGAGAAATGAAAAAAGAAACAAGTCAATGTTTGAATAATTATCATATTAAAAAGTCCAGTTAAAAAGTTTGATTTCATTCTAAAACCTATATTTTTATATTTTCCTCACAAACAAAATATTCTTTATACAGGGTCAAACATTTTCCGGTTTAATTCAGAATTTCATCAATATATATGAACCACTTAAAAGTTATTTATCACTTTATGAAACGGAAGTGGGTAGAAAAATTTATGATGAGACTCTTGCCTGTGTGGAACAACAGTTTCCTGGATATCTGAAAGAAATTCAAGGAACAGCCGCCGGTGCCAACGTTCCTTTTTACAAGGTATGCATTAACTATTGCTACTTTTTGAAAAGTTCTGTTCCGCGCGTAAACACGTGCAAACATGCGCACACAATTGTTTTCCTGCATATCTTTCTTTTAGCCTTGTATACAAATGAATTTAATTAGCATCTGTTATATTTTTTTTTTTCTTAAAAAAAACTTAATTATAAATTTATTCGAATAAAATAAACGAATTAATGAAAAACGATGAAACTCGATCAAACAATTTTTTTTCTTACAGTTATTTCTCATGCATTTAGATGATATTTTGCCAAATGTGGCTAACGAAGGACAAGAGAATACATTACCGATTGGTTGTTCAACTATTATGTGCAATCAACCAGGACAAGTGAGTGATAAGAAGAAATATTATTTCCGCGATGGAATGCAATTATCAATAATAGATCTATTAAACCTTAATATTAATTTCATATTATTTACTTCCTTTATATTACTTTTCTTTATCAATATTTCGTAACAGGAAATTTTAGGACATAATGAAGATGCACTTAGCGAGACATTAAATCATTGGTATTTGGTTTCTGCGCATGTAATCGAACCAGATAATAAGGAAGAAAAATTTACATCTTTGAGTTATGCTGGATTTTTACCAGGATACACGATGGGTTACAATCATCATGGCCTCGTTTATAGTATCAATACACTTAGTGCTGCTACCTTAAGGTCTGGTAAAACACGTAAGTATGTTTTATTTACATTTATAGCACTCATAGTACTTTTATTTATTTATTTATTTTTTTTTTAATATTCTTGACATTTTAAATATTCTTTTAATCATCTACATAAGTTATTATTTTATACATATAACTTTATAAGCATAAAATATTTTTTTTGTACTTCCTTAAATTTTTAATTATATATAAATACATTACATTATATTAACAGATTAATAGATAGTATATATCATGCAATATGCAAATAACATACATACATGCATATAGATTTTCTAATTCAGTTTTTTTCAAAAAGTCTCGGACGAGAAAATATTATTCTATTATTATTTTTTTTTATCTTTATTTGAAAAATCACTTCGTACTTTTTTGTAATTTTTAATCGTATATATATATATATGTACCTTTAGAAAGAAAGATTTTTTGATTATTAATTTTCATTTATTATATCGTATCATATTATATTATATTATATCGTTCTCTTTCTTTTAATTTAAATTAAATTAAAATTATATTATAATTCTTCATTTTAAATTATTTTAAATAATTTTTCATTTTAAATCATAAATGGAATTATACTAAACAGCCAGGTACTTTTTAACTCGGGCGCTATTGACTGCGGAAAATTATGTGCAAGCTCAACAGATTTTAAGAAATGAAGGTTTCGGTGCAGCAGAAGGATTTTCAGTAAATATGACTTTTTTAATGCAAGAAGGGGATAGAATGTTCCATAATGCTGAGGTTGGTCCTTGCAACATTAATGATACGCAATCACAATTGAGTATTTTAACCGTTAGTCCTGGAGAGAATACATTTCACTGTAACAAGTAATTTTATTTTTTTTTTAAATATTCTTCTTAATCATTTTTTTGCGGTTATTTTCGGATAATTTTAATTCTTTTTTCTTTATAGATATCTCCGATTAAAGATACCAGAAGTAAAAGGTCTTATTATAGATAGTAGTATCAAAAGAGAAGCTGTCATTTGTAAATACTCTCCTGCTAAATCATACCAAGATGTTATAAATATTCTAAGCGATCAAACGGATGATGAACACAAAATTTATCAAGACGGTCGTGTGAAAACCATAGCAACCGGTAGGTTTTTCGATTTCTTTTTTTTCTTCTTTTATGCGACTAAATTATCATTATTATCATAAAAAGTATCGATCAAATATTTATACAAATATAGGTATCTTTGATTGTATCAAAAAAACCTGGTCTATCTATACGGACAAACCAAATCCTACGCAGCCGGTTTTGGTGATACCATTACAATTGCATGATGAATCAACAGTTTCTGCAATGTAATGAAAATTCGTTGATCAAATTAAATAGTAAATCGTTCTTCGAAAATTTTATCGACTATTTCATCGCAAGATACTGAATTGTTACTTACTTGTTCCTTTTTTTTTTTGTTTTTCGTTGTTATAGCACATTAAAATTTTTTTAGAAATATGTATAATATTTCTGTTATTAAATCTTGTAGTAATTATATTGTATTTACAATACTCTCGATATTCTTTCTTCGTATTTTACATATCTTAACAAATTATCTTTATCCGTAGTTTAATTATGATCAAGAATTGAATTATATCATTGAACGTTAAAGATAAATCAAAATCAAGGTTTCTTAAAAATAATTAAATGCTTTTTTTTGCCTTCCATTTTCCTTTTTCTTTTTTTTTTTTGTTTTTTTCATAATTCGAAAAAAGGTTATGATTTATTGGAAGTTACATTTAAACCTCAATATAGAATTACATCCGAAATAATTTAGTATCACGCAACTAAGCTTTGCAATAAACGAAATATATAAAAGTAGAACATATTACTTGTAATAAAATGTTTGCAATACATCGACTTTTTGTTTCTATTAGAAACGAAAAATTTCCATAATACTCAATTAAAATACATTTCAACGGCAATATGTAGGTATCACAACTTTTGGTCGTTTCTTCGATTCCATTTCTGAGAAAAATTCCTTTATATCTTCTTCTCGTACGACTTTTTTATTTTCAGCAAATTTTTGCAAATATCGTTTCAATCGTTCCTTCATATTATTGTATTCTGCCAATATATGTACCATCATGAAATAAACGAAATAATTATATCACTTTAACAATTTTTAATCAAATGAATTCTTAACAAATTACCTTCGATAGCTGTCATTTGTTCAACATGACCTAAAGAAGCAAGGGCTTTCATACCCTTTTCATATTGTGATTCTCGGCTATTAATTTTACCAGCTTCTTCGTAAGCATGTACACTATCCGTTGGATCAAGAAGAAATGCAATATTTTTCTCTCGATAAAGCTGTAATCATAAAAATTTTAAATTTATAAATGTAAGGAATTAGGAATTTTTATTTGAATAAATGAAAGCATTACTTCTTTGCATGTTTTACAAGTACACAAAGCGGCTCTCCATCCTTCTATCCAAAAACAACTTCCTTGTGATGGTATTCTTTTTGCAGAATTATTCCTTGGCATTGTACATTCCTTCAATTGATTTTCAACATTGATTGATTCATCATCTTCTTTATCCCCATTAGAGCCATCTGTCACTATAGAAAGTATAATTATGTATATCAAATTATTAGAATATAATAATAATAATAATAATAATAATAATTTCAAAATACCTGTATATTTCTTGGCATAATTCCAAAGAAAATCATTCTGTCTCATACAACCAGCACAAATCATTTCATCATATGCAGCATCTGCTGGCATTTCCTTTTCGCATTCTAAATGCTAGTAATATTAATTACAATTAGTCTAAAAATTTTTTTTTGTTTTTTTCATAATTCGAAAAAAGGTTATGATTTATTGGAAGTTACATTTAAACCTCAATATAGAATTACATCCGAAATAATTTAGTATCACGCAACTAAGCTTTGCAATAAACGAAATATATAAAAGTAGAACATATTACTTGTAATAAAATGTTTGCAATACATCGACTTTTTGTTTCTATTAGAAACGAAAAATTTCCATAATACTCAATTAAAATACATTTCAACGGCAATATGTAGGTATCACAACTTTTGGTCGTTTCTTCGATTCCATTTCTGAGAAAAATTCCTTTATATCTTCTTCTCGTACGACTTTTTTATTTTCAGCAAATTTTTGCAAATATCGTTTCAATCGTTCCTTCATATTATTGTATTCTGCCAATATATGTACCATCATGAAATAAACGAAATAATTATATCACTTTAACAATTTTTAATCAAATGAATTCTTAACAAATTACCTTCGATAGCTGTCATTTGTTCAACATGACCTAAAGAAGCAAGGGCTTTCATACCCTTTTCATATTGTGATTCTCGGCTATTAATTTTACCAGCTTCTTCGTAAGCATGTACACTATCCGTTGGATCAAGAAGAAATGCAATATTTTTCTCTCGATAAAGCTGTAATCATAAAAATTTTAAATTTATAAATGTAAGGAATTAGGAATTTTTATTTGAATAAATGAAAGCATTACTTCTTTGCATGTTTTACAAGTACACAAAGCGGCTCTCCATCCTTCTATCCAAAAACAACTTCCTTGTGATGGTATTCTTTTTGCAGAATTATTCCTTGGCATTGTACATTCCTTCAATTGATTTTCAACATTGATTGATTCATCATCTTCTTTATCCCCATTAGAGCCATCTGTCACTATAGAAAGTATAATTATGTATATCAAATTATTAGAATATAATAATAATAATAATAATAATAATAATTTCAAAATACCTGTATATTTCTTGGCATAATTCCAAAGAAAATCATTCTGTCTCATACAACCAGCACAAATCATTTCATCATATGCAGCATCTGCTGGCATTTCCTTTTCGCATTCTAAATGCTAGTAATATTAATTACAATTAGTCTAAAAATGTCACGACAAATATATTAATATATTACCTTTGAATGATACCAGTCCTCACAGATTATACATTGTAACATTTCATCATTGACAGTATCATCTGGATCTGGATATGGTCTTTCACAAATACAATAAAGACCATCAAAATTATGATTATATTGATTTTCAGAATTTATTGAATCCTTTGACTGCAAACAAAAGATTTCTTAAAAATAATACGAAATATCAATAATTAAAAAAAAAAAAAAACAAAAATAAAAATACAATAACAAACATACAGCATCTAGATTACACTTTTTTTCTCCAAACTTTGAATTGCCACAGTCACATCTAAAATGTCTTTTAGTATATAATTCAATAAGTTCATGACCTTCGTGACAATGGAAACTACAAGCAAGACATATTGCTGCTCGCATTGATTTCTGACAACAAGTTTTGCATGCATAAAGGGCTTGTCGTGTATAACCCTAAAAAATCAAATGATTCACTTGAGGCTAAATTTCAAACTAATATTCAAAAAAATTAGTGCTTATATCATAAGTAGTATACCTTGCTATAAGTACAATTTTTGTCATCAGATGCACCCAAAACCGCATACGCATCCTCTTCCAATTGATTCTCTTCTCGAAGTACATCTAACATTGTAACTGAATTTTCTTCTTCGATAACTTCCTCAACATTTTCAGACATTTTGTTTAATTTATATCCCACACCTAATAGTAAGCCAATTTAATTTGAACCTATTTAATATATTATTAAAAATTTGAAATTAAGGTTATTAACCTCACTTTCTTTTTTTTTAATCGATCTCTTTTCAATTAAAATACTTTTCAAATTAATACTATTAATTATGCTTTATTTACATTTCTAGAACGACAAAAATTCAAAAAAATAATGTTCCCAACGAAATAACACTAAACCACGTCTTGTAACGTTCCGTGTTGTTTCGCGCGACTCCTTCCGTTCAGCTCCTACAATTTAATCACTATTGCGATGATAGCGCTCTTTTTACGAATCTAATTTTTATCTATGGAATTCAAATTATGAATATACTTATTAAATATATATTTGTTCTTATTATCCATATTTACTTATTAGATATTAAGAATTAAAAAATTTATTAATTTATTTAATTAACATAGCACTTCTTTTCTAATATTTTATTCTAAAATAATTCTAAAGAATTAAATTTTTACCTCAATACTGGAATTTCAATTATTCAATTTTTTACAATCACAATTAATATTTATTTTATGTATAATGCACTTTATTTCGTTTTATGTATATATTATCATCTATATAGATGAAAAAAGATAAATCTGACATAAGTATATACACTGGTATTAATAAGTATCAAGAGATGGCAGGCACGTTCAGTAGCTTTGCTTTTCGCGCCTTAATTATGCCTAACCTGTCTTAAATATACACATCTTTCCAACTTCTTTTTTTAAGTAAAAGATAAAACTTCTTTGGAATCTAAAAACTGTTTAATCTCTTTTTTTATTACATTGTGAGATCTATAAGATTAAGATTATTGAGTAATGGAGGAAGTAACTAAATGCAGGTACATCGATTGTGTCGACACACGGGAAAAGGAGCAAATACTTCATGAACTTCCCGTTTGTGATACCGGTCTCTGTGTGAGGTGGTTGATCAACAGTGGTCACGTGGATCTAATTGGAAGTGATCTGGATGCTTTACGGTCTATGAAATTTTTCGTTTGCAATAATCACTTTACGGAAGATTGCTATCTGAGTAAAGGTACTCTAAAAGAAAATGCAGTCCCTTCTCCACATTGGAGTGCTGTTTCAAGAAAATTGAGGAATTTGAAAATACGACGGGTAAATATTTTTTTTATTGTCTATTTATTTCTGATTCTTATCTTCAAAGCATTCCGTAATGTAAACGTAAAATATTTAAAATTACATTATATAATTCTCTAAAATAAAATATTGAAATATAAAATAGAATCTAAATTAACATAGATGAGCATAAATAATTCAAAAAATTGTTTATTCAATAATTTTATATTATTATATTTTTTTCATTAAATTTTAGAAAATTCATTTAAACGGTCAAGAAGGTTCTATGGAGGAAGTAGCAACAGATCAAGTTACAGAGAAAAATGTTCCATCTGAATTTGAAGTGGATCAGTGGTGTAGAACATGTGCGACCAAGAAACAAAATCTTGTAAGTATGATGACCAAGGGAAAAGGCACAGATATGAGCCTTCTATCAAAATTGAAACTTTTAATAGAAATTGATGATGAAGATGCTTTACCAACAAAGATGTGCGATGAATGTGTTGACAAGTTGGAACAGTCTTTTAAGTTTTTTCAACAGATTTATGTAGCAGACAATACATTGCGTCATGTGTTTCCAAATTCACGATCCAGCAATGCACCTAGAAAACCTCTTTATTCGATTGGTGAACATATGAGAAATGAACAGAAGGAAAAAGAAAAAGAGAAAGAAAAAGAAAGAGAAAAAGAAGAAGAACAACAGCAACAGATTCAAGATCATGCTCCAAAAGTTACTCGTGGTATTTTTAGACGAGGTCGAGGTAGACCACGTACTAGAGGATTTCCTACAAGATCCAGAGGAAGACCAAGAACTGTTCACTTACCGCTTCCAGTTCCAAGTTCTAATCTAAACAATAATACCGTAAATGAAACCAGAGTAAATGAAACAATTAAACAATTAAAAAATGAATCTCAAAGTGTGACTCATGATGAAGAAAGACAAGGTAATACAGTATTTTCATTACTTACTGATACATGCCATAGTGATGAAGAACTAGATTGGTCAGATGTATTAAAAGTGATGAGTGATCAAAGGTATCAAGTTGTTTCCAGACAAGAAACAGAATCAAAATTAGAAGAAAATATACAAAAGGAAAAAACAGAGGAACAAGAAATTCAACCAGAAATAATGTTACAAGTAGAAGTGGCATCAGAGACAATAAAAGAAGAAAGAAACACAGAAGCAGAAATTGAAGTTAAGGTAAAAGTAGAGGAAGAGATAGAGGTGCAACCTAATGTGACAAAATTAATTATAGAGAAAGAAGTTCAACGAATACGTTGTGAATTTTGCGACGAATCATTTAAACTTAGACGTCAACTGCAAACACATTTATTAACCGATCATTCTCAATTATCCGAACATATGTGTATAGATTGTCTAACTTGTTATGAAAGTGAATCGTTATTAACAAAACATCGTAGTTTACGTCACGGAGATCGAAAATATCATTGCGAATATTGCCACGAAGTATTTCTCGAAAAAAAGATTTTAAGGGAACACATTAAGAAATGTCAGCCACACGATATATTGCATTATTCCTGCGACTCGTGTGGAGTAACATTTATCTCTAAAGAAGAGTTAATTGAACATATGGAAAATCATCCAGAAAGTTCGATTGTATCATCGCACATGAATCTTGATAATTTGCAAAGTACCGATAATACATTAGTATCATCTTCAAAGCCCGTAATAAAACTCGAATCAGAATCTGAATATTGTTCTATTTCAACTTCAAAAAATACAAATGAAATTTTAGAATCGAATACAGGTGAAAAGAGCAGCACAATTAATTCAAGTGATACATGTGAAATTAATATAGTCGAGGAAACCCAAGGACTGATCGATGAAGAGTCGATAGTGATGTGTCCGGATTGCAACGAGCAAATGAATAACACAGTGGAACTTAGTATCCATCGAATGCGTCGTCATTCGATGAATAGAAAGGATGCTACGTGTCTTCTTTGCGACAACAAATCGTTTTCTTCATTAGACGAATATGAACAACATGTACTCGATCATTGCAAACGATTAAGAATATCACCATGATAAGATGAATTTTTCTTTATTACATAATATCGCGTCAGTGATAGATTTAATCTATTATATTGATTCATTATCAGTTAAAAAAAAAAAAAAATTCGATCGTATTAGATACAATTAAAGGATATCAAAGTTAATCATTTTATTAAAATATTGCGCATTGTGTGCGTTTGTATTTTGTAGAACCTTCAATCTTATTTCTTATTATTATATGAAACAAGAAATATATTTTAATCGAAACATATTTAAAATAATCGAGAAACTCGATCTTTTTTTTTAATTTATCTGTAATATTGACTAAATTACGTAAAAAAAAGTACAAAAATCTGAAGGTAAAAATCTGTTATGAGACAGTGCGTCACATTCACGATAATGATATGAATTGTATAAAGAATAAATGCATCGATAGAAATAGATTTCTATATGAAATGTCACAACATACAACACATTTGTAATGTAATGTAACGTAAACGTGTTTCTTTCATTTCATTTCATTTAAAAATTTGCACGCGCGTGTGTGTATATGTGTAAGTTCTGTTTAATATATACGTATATATGTAAATAACATAGAGCGTGTATGAGCGCGACAGTAAGAATATCAGTACGCGCGCGAATGCAACGGTGAATCATAATTGTTGTTTATTATTTACAATCGGCCGAGTTTAGCCGGTAGTTTTAAAATTATTCATCAATAAATATGTCTTTTTTGAGCTATAGTAATTTAAGAATAAAAACTGCTATTTCGATCCTGGTGATGTTTTGAACGGTGAGCACGGCGGTCAATGAATGCAACCATTCGAGAAGAAGGAATCGTTGCACCAATTGATATCTGAAACAAAGATCAATTTAATCCTTGGTAAGATTATCAGAAGATTTGTATTAGATTAGTTTGAATGTTGCTTAATTAGTTATTAAATTAGCACTGCTGCTTATATGATAGATCATCAATACAAGACAAAACTAATTCTTATAATTTAATAAAAAAAATCAACAATTGTACAAGCGCAATATTTAAATCGACATAGTTTTAATTTTAATTGGCGACAAAATTTTAATTTTATAAATTATCTTGAATATAATTTAACTGAATCTGTAAAATACAATCTTTTCTGTACTTCTGTAATCGATGATTTTTTTCTTTGTCAGTTCATATAACTAATTGGCAAAGCTAACTTCATTGTTATAAATGTAATATATTAATTAATATAAATCAATAATAATATAATTAACATTTAATTGGTTACCTTAAACCAAGGTGATGATAGAGTTAATTGAGCGGTTGCTCTATCTTCTCCTCGTAAACACAATAATGTTTCAAGAAGATTTTTTACATCAGACGATATATCTTTAAAATATTCATCAGGGAAACAAAAGTCGCATTTTAATATGTTCGCGGTAGTTTCTTCAATGGAATCATCCAAAAAGGGGGAAAGTCCGCTGCACAGATGAAAAATTTTGCAAATGTAATGTTAATCGATAAAAATTCATATTTTTGCATTATATAACAAAAGTTTTATAGGTTAATTTAGATGCATTTACCTTAATAATACATAAAGAAAAACACCAGCAGCCCACATGTCCGTATAAGATCCTGTTGGTTTACCGAGAACCGATTCCGGAGCTGCAAATTCCAAATCAACTGGAGGAACAACTTCATCCAGTGGTACCGCTCTGACAGCTTCACCAAGATCTATTAGTTTTACAACACCAGTTTTCTCATCAATTAGAACGTTTTCTGGTTTTAAATCTAAATGAGCTCGTTTACGTGAGTGCAACCAGTGTAATGCTGACAATAGTTGACCGGTGTATTTTGCAACAATCGCTTCGGTATATTCAATTTGTTCGCCAAGATATACAAATAATGTGGAACCCTTGACCCTGTACGCGAAAATAATAATAGAAGAGATTCAATATCGAGACATAACAAAGTGGACCGTGCTAATTTTTCAAACTGCAATTAATCAAATAAAGCAAAAAAAAAAGAAAGAAAGAATAAAAAAAAAAACAAAATGAAAAAATACTGACAACTCTAAAACGATAGTATCGATATCCGGTTGAGGTGTATCCTCGAAAAGTGCAAATGCTCGAACAATATTATCATGGCGTATATTCCTGAGAAGATCATACTCGGCACGAGTTAACGATAGCGGTTGCTTCAATCGAGATATTTGTTTGAGTGCTACTTCTCGGTCGAATCCTTTTTCCTTTGCACAGCATACTCTAGCAAATCTACCAGCTCCTAATTCTTCCAGCTCGATATATTTGTTATTAAATTGTTCAATTTCTATATTTTTCGTTATTTTTTTTCTCGAATCTGACAATGTTACAATCGACGAGGTTTCCTTTATCGTTAATCCGTTTGATCGATTACTTGATTCGATTGTATCGCACCAAGCGTTTGTCGTATCAATACCTACGGTGAAAAAATATATATTAATTATTTATTTCATCGTGTATTATGTATACAACAACGTACCTACGATACTAAGGGGAATTTTTGCTGAACAAGAACCCGTTTCATGTTCGACGCGACAGTGGTAAATCCCGGAATCAGAAGGAAGGCAAGGAGCAATTTCGAGACAAAGGGAATCGTTCGTTCGGTAAAGTCGATATCGATCGCTTTCCTCGATGTCACATCGTTGCCCCTCCTTTCTCCAACGTACGACTGCACGTTCCACGCGGCGAGCTTCCAGTACGAGCCGAGCCACGCCACCTGCCGTCGCCCTGATCGAACACGGAATAGTCAAAATCGCGGGAGGACCGTTCTCTTCCGCGCACATATCTTGCGGAAGACGGACGTTCTCTCCCTCGGAATCGATTCTTCGCGGACGGAAAGACCATGCGCGGCTGATCGATGAATTTGGAACGAGACTCGCCGGAATCCAGAATTCCTCCTTTTTTCCGACTACCGGAGAGACGATTAGCCCTGGACCATCCACACGGAAGATCTCCAATTCTTCTCCAGCGTGTAATTTGCCCCAATCTGCGGTTAATCTTACTCTGCTTCCTGGAACGATCTACGGAATCTCCGGTTAACTTAACGAATCTTTGATCTTTCCTCGATCATGCACCGGATCATCGATATCTTTCACACCTCACTCCCGTTGACCATTTCACCATTCTCTCTTGATCGAATGTTTTTTCTTTTAATGTTGAATGAAGCGTTTCGTCTATCCAATATCTTGCGACATATTATTAAACAGCAAGCACTCGATGGCAACAGTGAGCAGCAACAGTGACCCAACACTTAATAAATACAGTTAGCGAAATATATCGTAATAAAACTGCAAAGAACTACGGTGTTTAGCAACAGTGTATAGCAATAGTGATAGGATATCAATATACAAAAAACTGAAAACAGGGTTCTACCAATATTTAAAATAATAATAATAAATTAATATCGCGAACTTAATAAGACAAATAATAACATCGACGGTGATAATAATAAGAAAATCTACAATAATTATTACGAATTGTATCCGATAAATGTAATCATGACGACAACAATATAGTATAATAATAATGATGATGATAATGATGAAGACGACGATAACGATGACGATGATGACGACGATGACGACGATGACGACGATATCGACGACGACGACAACGATGATAACGACGATGAGATGATGATGATGATGATGATGATGATGATGATGATGATGATGATAATGATGACGATGGTGATGGTAATGATGATGATGATGATGATGATGATGATGATGATGATTATGACGATGACGACGAAGACTATGATGTATGAATAGTAATAACGAACGCGATTGCAATGTAATATTAAAAAATGAAAACGAATGGAAGGGAAGGCAGTAACGATGCAAGAAGCAACAACTACAGAGTTAACATGTTTGAGAGCGTTTCATTTTGATGTAAAATATGTACAAGGTAATACTGGTTTCGTGAATAAGAATAACAAATCGTCAATCAAAGTAATCAGAGCCTGTAATATAATGAGTGCAGTAACATTGCACGTTGAGAAGAGATATCAACGAGAAATGATATATTTCATTATTTGCACTATTTGTCTCACAATCAATGGAAACGGTGGAAATAAAAAAGTTGTTACCGTACCAACGAAAAATTATATGACAGAGATCGAATAGCAACAGGCATCAAGAGGAAGAGAAAGAAGAATCCTTTTGCTGCAATTGCAAGAATTCTAATTACGAATAAAGACAAATAGAATTGTATATATAAACTTAAAAAATAATAATAATTTCGATGTTATTGCTCACCGGGATAGAGTTGTTGCGAACAGGTGATCGTGGACGTAGAGTGCTTCTGAATCCTTCAAGAAAGTTCAGTCTGCTTTTGCTAGGACTTGGCGATTGTGAAGAATCCTGATCCAAGCCTCCAGTACGAGGTCGCTGTAAAATCGATGTTGTCGTAGCTGTCGCTGCTGCAGCTGTAGCTAATGCTTTTGAAGAGGTAGTAGCAGCGATTTCATTTCTCCGTTCTTCGTTCGTTTTAGACATGTTCGGTATTGTTGATGAAAGTACACTTCCTCGACATGGAGAATCCGGACTCACGCCACGACTGTACGCCAGCAAATTATAAATAAAATTCAAACACGGTACTGCATCTATGAAAATACACTTTTTGTCGCATCGAGTTATTATAACTCGAACGAGATATCATAACTCGAATTAACACTCGGATAGTTCAATTTAAAGATAAAGATAGACGATATTCAAGTTTTATCATAATAATACGTTTTATATATACATTAAAATTATACTGGCTTACTTTATAAAAAAACTTTTTTTTAATTTTGGGAGATAATAGGAAGAATAAGGAAATTCTTTTAGAAAAAGATAAATCCATTGCTTAAAGTGTTTAATAAAGTATAAAGCAACCAGAAATTTTAATTAAAATGTAAGATATCGATGCAATACCATGTCCTCGTAGAAAATGATAAGAAAAACCAAGCTGTTAGTCAAACGACGAGTAAATAGTGTTAAATAGGCGTAGGAAAAGGATGCATCACAATTAGAATGTTGACCAATGTACAATTTATTCTAAACAAAATGTTTACGTTTCTCGAGTTTTACTTTACGTCGTCCTTCATGAATGCACATTTATGTACAGCATACTATCCCCCGCATTCGTTCAATCGTCTTGCAATTATAAACATTATTAAAATTATTATACACTTGCAGCGTTACGTCGTTAATAGGTAATATAGCTTTGGTGGGGGTGAGTCAGCATGTTGAACATGCTCGCTTGGCTTGATCATGCGTCATTTATTGCGTGTGATGTTTATTCTTATTTTACATACGCGTGATTATCCGTGCATGTACATACAGATACGCGCATGTAAATTTTTCATTACGTGAAAATCAGTGAAACGTGCTTCCATAAATAGTAAACAATAGGATTGAAAAAATTGTTTGAACCAACAAAGACACAGCAATACATAGTCTCATTCGTTGTTTAATCAATTTTGTCTTTTAGAAATCGTTCCTTCTTATCAAATTTTTTTGTAACAAAATCTGTCTCGCCCCCACCCCTTCCCTTTCCAGCATAATCTCTCACTCACTCTCTCGTACATCCGCACGCGCGCGCGTGTAAACGCGAAATACATGCAGTCACGCGACAGACACAACTCACATAAACAGAAGCATGCAACAAACACACCTTTCCACTTTAATATTATTCTTTTGCAAACAACAAGATACCAAGGAGTTGTTACGAGGATGTAAATTGTGAGTGGGTACGTTTCGTTATACCTACCCTCACTTGCACACAGATGTGCAACACAGTCGATAAATAACAGAATGCTTGATAATTTGTATCGTATCGTATCGTATCGTACTGTATCGTAACGTATTGTATTGTAACGTGTCGTATCGTAGAATGTCACATTGTACCGTACCATATTGTACTGTACCATATAATATCGTATTGTATCGTAGTGTATTAATGTACTGTATCATATTATATTGCATTGTATAGCATTATGTTCCAACGAACCATGACAAACACAGTTGTAGGAACGTTAAAAACTACTCCGATGGAGGTAGGTAATTATTATAGAATATAGTAGGAGACGCTCTCGCGATAAAGCTACTCAGCAGCAATAGCGAGGTAGATTCCTGGACTGCAATGTTAAGGCAAACAAGAGGAAGCACGTCGCAATATGGTGAAAGAGTAATGTGTACATAAATTGTGTGATAAGAGAACACATTGTGAGATAAATTAGGAACAAAACGAAAGGAAAACAGAGATTAAAACGGATTCGGTTTTAGGAGACGACTACGGTTCTCTAGCATATAGCGCTTCTGTATCTTTTCTTTATATAAAATATACAAAAATATTTCGGAACGAATCTTCACGGATCGAGCGTTGAAAGAGAGTCAATGTAATTCAGTGTGTTAGATAGAGTGACGCTTACAATGGATCTTTGGTAAGTTCCTTTTGGTAGGCAATTGGTGACTGTATCGCTTTAAGGAAGTCACGTTGGGTCTGCAGGATGGCAGTGATCGTATCTACCCACTCCTGCTTCCGTGGCCCATTTTCTTCTACTGCGCTACAAGAGAATCCGAGGCCAGGTTTTCGAGGATCTGTTGATCGAATTATAAACTTCTCCGAATCATCATAACATTCTTCCAAACTCATTTTATTCACCTGTGCAAAATGAAATATTCATCTTTATATATTTGTAATATTTCACATTAAATATCGTTTTTTTTCATTTTCTTTCAATTGTTCAATATATTATGTTAATATTATTATCCGTAATATATGTAATATTATTATCATTAATTAATAATTATATCAATTTCTTTTTTTTTTTTCATGAAATTATATATTTGCAATTTCTATCGACACATAAATAAAAATTATCATTATATTATTTTTTATAATAAACTAAATTTAATAAATAAAATAACAATAAAATAAAAAACTAACAGTTAGAAAAATAGCAATATAAAATAATTTAAGAAATATATATTGTTAATTAATTAGAAATATTTAATACATCATTATCATTTATTTATAACATAAAATTATAATTTGTGATAAAAAAAAACTTGAAAAAAATATTAAGCAAATTTAACGATCGTTCTTTACCTGAATATGAGCCTTGTAAATATAGACAGGATTGGTAAATTGTGTCTTTTTTCCGACAGCCTCACTAAAAATAATATTTTGTTCGAACAGGAAGACTTGCCATTCTTTTTCCTTACTAGGTAAATTCGAAGAAAATTCTGAGACTAAAAGTGGTCCGTGTAATAATAATTTTCCTTGCGCTGTAATTTTTCCCTAATAAAAAAAATAATGAAAGATATTAATATAATCGAATTATTATTTTGCATCAAGATAAGAGTACTTACATCGAAACCTTGAAGTCTTGCAACATCCATCATGTCATTGGCCGCTTTTGGAATAATACGCATTACATGAACCGCTGCTCTAAGTCCTTCGATTTCCGAAATTCTTTGAGTTCGTTCGGTAAGTCTTAATGCCTCTCGAAGAAGAAGTTGATACTTTGTGATCCTTTGAACCGGTTTGATTAAAAGATCGCATAATTGTAACCGATGTCCGAGCTTTTGCCTCAAGTCCTGGACAATGATAATTGATAAGAATAAAAAAAAAAATAAATAAATAAAATAAAATAAAATTAGCAAAATATCAGAATTAAAAAATTATTTTATATAATATATATAATAAGACTTAACTTAAGTAATTTGTATATCTACCTCGAAATAGCTGTCTATATACTCAGAAACAATATACTCGGAGACTGGTTTATTTTGACAATAAACAACATACATATGTAACTTCCTTTCGTATCGCTTAAACAACGGCCCAAGCTCTTCCGGCCGTTCCAAGCAACGTTCCAAAGCTTTCAGAAAGAAACTGTATATAAGAATAAAAATTTGAAATGAAGTGTTCAATTTATACGATTGTTACTATAAGTAGACAAGTAATACAAGAAAAGCTTACTCTCTATGCCATTCGTAGATTGCCTCTATGTTACCAAAAACCATTTTATCCTTTCCACCACGCAAATCATCTGGCAATGGCACTTGAGATTCGGAATCTCGCATCAATGCCATATATCCTTCAACTATTTGCTTTAAATCATTTACATAATCTTTTTCTGTCTCGACTAATTCTCGGATAACGAATTGTCGTTTTACTAGCACTGCACTTTCCAGGTCGCATTCCTGCTCCGAATTCCCGTGAGCAGGACTACTCGTTGTTGCTGCCATCTTAGTTGTTGTCGTGGTTATCCCCGTCGCTACAGTTGCTGTCGCTACTGTTGTCATCATCGTCGTTGAAGCAGCAATCGTCGTAGTAGCGATAGTTGTACTTGATACTGCATCTTTATCATAATCGTTATCCCCACTGCCACCAATGCTTGAATTTTTACCACTAGGCGTTCGCATCAGACTTTGTCTTTCTTGATTTTCCGTATGTTGTTCCTATTTCCATATTAGATAGAAATGCGCATCAATATCAGATGTATTATGAATTTAAATTCTATTTAGTATAGACTTACCATTCTTTCTTTTACGATCTGTTCAATTTCAGCTAAATCAACCGTCGTGGCACCGTCAAGAATCTTCGTTGAACGCTCAGACGTCTATATATAAAATAGAAATCAATTTAAATATTATTCAAGAATTATATTTTTATCTGTAAATTGTATTAATTTACTTATAGCTATTATATTATCTGAATTATCTGTATTATCTATATAAAACACAAAAATTTTGAAATTCTATACTATGTCGTGTACAGTAGTTTTATTTTTTTTTAATTATAATAAAAATTGAAACGCGATACGTATAGAAACACGCTACGTTATATTAAAGCAGTTTTATTGGTGCAAAGGATGAGACGTTCAAATTTCCTCACGTACGATTCATTGGTATTCATAACGTTTGCACTCAAACATTTGGACCAGGTAAAGTAAATGAATTATAATGGGTGAAAGGTTCTAAGTTTGAAACTATTTTGGGAGGGTAAAAAGAATTAAGAAGACGAATTATAAGAAAAATTAGCGAGAAACGAGGAAAAAAAAAAAATTATAGCCAAAATATAGGTTAGAATGAAAATATATTAAAATAGAAGAAAAATGAAAATAAAACTCACTCGAGATTTTCCACAGCCTTCTGTTGTAATTGCAGATCCCGATGCTCCATTCGCAGTTCCTACAAGTATCGGTTCAGTGATAGGTTTCATCGGCGGAGGAAGTTCTAATTCGTCTTCGACATCGTCCGCTCCATTTTGTTCCGAATACGTTAAAGCTTCTGTGTTATCAGGTTCCGGTACATCTTCTTCCAATTCTGGTTCCGATTGTTCGGTTTCTCCTTCGTACTCTTCTCCTTCGATTCCTGGTTGAAGTTCAGTGTCAAGGTCCGCTTCAGAAGCAGATACACGCATAGAGGCAGTCGCCGTTGTTAACGCAGAGATAGAAATAGAAGCGGTTCTGGACGGTCGAGATTGTTCCGCACCAGTCGGTAATTTGAATCGTTTTTCCGAGACATTCTTTTTCAAACGATCACCTGATGGCGGTACAATCGATGTCGTTATCGATGTCGATGTCGATGTCGTCGTCGGTGGTGATTTCTCGACTTTACCTTGGCTAAGTTTACGCAATGGTGGAGGTAACCACTTTCTCCTATGAAAGAAGAAAAATAAAAAAAAAAAAATCAATAAATAGTACAATTATTTATCGCTTGAATACATTCGATTTCTTGCTTTTAGATTCATTAAAACATTTATAGATTTATCCTATGTGTTTGCCTACTTACCCGCTAAAGCCACGCCTTTTGTTTCCTGGAGAATTTGTGTTCGCAGGACCACTTCCATCGTTCGCAACATTTTCTATAAAAATATAAATAATATAAATCTCAAATGCGAATTGCTGAAGCGAATATTACGCAAAATAAAACGTGCAATTTGATTGTTTTTGATACATTAAGAATGCATATATGCAAATTAAATATATAAAAAGATCGGCAAAAAAATTAAAAAAAATAAAAGGAATTTAATTATTAAAATCATTTGATAATTGGAAAAAATCGAAATCATTTGATGATATATATATATATATATATATATATATATATATATATATATATA